AGTAGAGACGGGGTTTCACCATGTTGACCAGGATGGTCTCCATCTCTTGACCTCGTGATCCACCCGCCTCGGCCTCCCAAAGTGCTGGGATTACAGGCTTGAGCCACCGCGCCCGGCCACTGATTTCTTTATTTCTTATGGGGAGTGAATTTTTCTCTTTACTTTTCCTTCCTTCCCTTCCCCCTCCCCTCCCCTTCTCTCTTTCCCCTTCCTTTCTTCTTTCTCTTTTCTTTCTTCTGGTAGGGTCCTGCTCTGTTCCGCAGGCTGCAGTGCAATGGCACAATCATGGTTCACTGTAGCCTCAACTGCTTAGGCTCAAGTGATCCCCCCACCTCAACTTCCCAAATAGCTGGGACTACTGGCACGTGCCACCACACCCAGCTAATTTTTGTATTTTTTTTGGTACAAATGGAGGTCTCACCATGTTGCCCAGACTGGTCTCCTGAGCTCAAGCAGTTCCCCGGCCTTGGACTCCCAAAGTGCTTGGGTTACAGGTGAGAGGCACAGACCCCGACCTTGGAGTGGATTTTGTAGGGACAAGTGAGGAGGATATGGATGGAGGGTGGGGTGGTTGTACCATTCAGGTAAGAAAAGAGGGTAGGAGAAGAAAAGTGGGAAGGATCTGGGGCTGATGTGGGGTGGGGCAGGCTGTGTCAGCTGGGGTGTGGAGGGGCCTCAGAATTCCTCTAGGCCTCTGCTTGTGAATAAATCTTCCCTAGCTTCTCTACTGTCTTCCAGGAGAGCAAAGTCTCCCCTGGGTTGATTCATCACCAGGTCATTGGGGCCCTCAGCTGAGATAGGGGGGAGGTGAGAGCTGGCTGGGGGTGCCCTGCAAATCAGCCCTATGTAAGCAGGTGTTCTTAATCCTTGCCAAGACCAGGGACAGCTTGAGGGCCTCAGAGAGTGCTGGTGAGACACACACAAAGGCCCTTTGTTGCAGCCAAGGCAGATTCCTGGAGGGATGCCCCAGAGGCTGACCGCTCCCTGAAGGGGCTGGAGTAGGGGCATCCCAACACAGAACTGGTGGCTCCAGCACCAGGAAGAACCACTGTGTGCCAAGGTTGAATGTGGCTTCCGAAGCTCGAACTATAAGGAAGCAGCCAGAGAGGTGTGGCACCTGGGCAAGCCTCTGCCTAGGCGGTGTTTGCAGTGTCACGGTAAATCATCGAGAGGTGGCTCTCAAAACAGTCCTGGTGACCACTTTTCTGACCACCCCTCACCCCTCAAGTGCCAGTGACTACACAGATGGGCCCTCTCTTACCCCAAGTCTCCTCACTGAAGGGGAACCCCTGGAGTGAGCCTGTGAGGTCTGCCTGTTCCCCAACATCTACAGAAAAACTCACAACAATTATACATTTAGCACACATTTCCTCCTCTGTGAGTTGGGGACATTAAGAGACCTTTCCTCCAGCATTAGGATTAAACCAGACAAAGCACTTAAAGCCTTCAGCACTGAGTCCTTGGTTCTGCACAGAAACCCCCAGGCCAGTTCTAAGACAGAGTTGTTAGGCACACCCTGGCAGGTTACACCAGGCCAAGTACCTCGCAGGGTGGGGGAATCCAGAGGTGGGCAGGACTGGTGGCATTTTGATGGGCCCCGCCTTCTCTTCCCTCCTCCCTTGGCCAGAGACAGGCAGGAGGGCCCCAGGCAGCAGTTCTTCCCACCCTCTGCCCCTTAGTCTTGCACGCCTCTAGGGCCGGGACGCTTATTCTTCCTCCTAGCAGCTCTGCCTGGAAGTCCCCCAATCCCTGTGCTACTGTTCCCAGATCTTGGGCTTGGGGGACAGCAAGAAAGCTGCTACAAAAAACTCAGCTGGGGCAGCTCCACAAGGACCCTACAGGCTTGAGGCATTGCCGGGATTCTATCCCAGCCAGCCAGGCTCCTGGGTGCCCCAGAACCCTCTGGAGCACAGGGAGGCAGAGGGGTCCTTACCCATTTCAGGAGTCTACAGCCTGACGGCTACAGCCATGGTGGGCCCCCGATACCCGGTCTCAGTTCGAGGGGCAGCTCTGGTGCAGATCAAGAGGCTCCAGGTAAGACCTGGGTGTGTCTCTAGTGGCCCTAAGGCATAGGAAGGGGGTGCCTCGATCAGCATCTCCAAGGCACCCACAACTTTACGTCCCCTAGACATTTGCCTTGTCCGTGTGCTGGTCAGATGGCAGTGACACCTTTGTGCGCAGGAGCTGGGAGGAATTCAGGCAGCTCAAGGTGAGTGACCCTGGGCCACCCTAATACCATGGTTAAGGATTCCCCACCTGGGTGACTACCAGTGTAAGACCTGTCAGTGACTCTAACCGGAGGCCCTTCATCCTGCCTGAGGCTCCCAGCCCTTGTCATCAGGGTGAGGAACCCCACCCTCCTAAGGGTGCACAGTGGGCTCTGGGAGACTGATGCCCCTCTTCCTGCCCTCAGAAGACTCTCAAGGAGACCTTTCCAGTGGAGGCGGGTCTGCTTCGGAAATCCGACCGCATTCTCCCAAAGCTTCTCGGTCAGGCCAGCCTGGGTCTGGGGGCAGGGAAGGCAGTGGCTTGCTGGGGGCGGGGGGTGTGGCTCAAGGGACCAGTGAAGCCCGAAGCGGGGTCTCACAGTACATTTTGGTGGTGTCCTTAGATGCACCGCTATTGGCACGCGGGGGGCGCACGAGCCGCGGTCTGGCACGCCTGCAGCTGCTGGAAACCTATTCTCGGAGGCTGCTGGCGACTGCAGAGCATGTGGCTCAGAGCCCGGCAATCACAGGCTTCTTCGCACCGCAACCCCTGGACCTGGAGCCCGCGCTGCCACCTGGCAGGTGCCTGACTCGACCCCCAACTCCCAGCCTGCAGCAGCGTTTGGAGCTGGGGGGAGGTCCAAGGTGGGGGTTACAGCCAGTGAAGAGGAGCAGAGACTGGGAGGCTGGCAGTCTTGCTGGGGTGGCATGGCATGCCTAGTTTCACCCTGGAATCTGCCTACCTCTCACCCGTGCGGGCTGCCCTTCCCAGCCGGGTGATCCTGCCCACCCCGGTGGAGCCACCTCTCTCCCATGCTGCCAGCCGCCTCTCCATCCACAGTCTGGAGGCTCAAAGCCTGCGCTGCCTGCAGCCCTTCTGCACTCAGGACACACGGGGCCGGCCTTTCCGGGTGCAGGCCCAGGAGAGCCTGGATGTGCTCCTGCGGCACCCCTCCGGTAGGGCCCACCAGGAACCCAGGGATTTGCCTCTGTCCCTGGACGCCAGGGAGCCTCAAGATCTGAGTCCCCACCCGCCTCTTGTGCACAGGCTGGTGGCTAGTGGAGAACCAGGACCAGCAGACAGCTTGGTTTCCAGCACCCTACCTGGAGGAGGTGGCTGTGGGCCAGGGCTGGGAACGAGGCCCGTCCCTAGGGAGCAGCGGTATGCACCTAACCCCCACCCCTCATGCCATCATTACAGCTGGACCATGTGGCAAAATGGGCCAGAAGCACTGTGGGAAGGGCGGCTTGATGGGGCCCAGGAGCCCGTGCTTGGTCACTGAACCTAGAGAAAGTCCCGAACCAGTTTTAGGGCGGTCCCAGCGTCAGCAGAGACTCAAGCCAGGAGAATCCAGAGAAGGGTGAGGGCCCTGACCTCTGCGGCCCCACGGTGACCCCAAACATACACCCCCAGGTCCCCAGTTCTGTGCTTCCTGCGCCTACGAGGGCAGCCGTGCAGATGAGCTGTCTGTGCCTGCAGGTGCGCGCGTGCACGTGCTGAAAACATCAGATCGAGGCTGGTGGCTCTGCAGGTGAGCAGGAATGGGCATGGGTGGGGCAGCCTAGCCGAGGCAGGCGGGGCCTTAACCACATCCCCCCGCCCCTGACAGGTATGGCGACCGGGCGGGCCTCCTCCCTGCGGTGGTACTGCGGCCTGAAGGGCTGGGTGCCCTCCTGAGTGGGACGGTGTTTCGTGAAGGAGACTCAGCAGATGAGGCCCAGGGCTCCCCCAAACCCTCCCAGGCCACTGCCCCTGCCCCCATCGTCCCCGCCCGACCTTCGCCGGGCGCCATCCAGAACCGCTGCTGCACCATCACCCGCAGGGCCCTGGAGCGGCACCCAGGGCGCCAGCGCCCCTCTGGAGGGTGTGTGGACCCTGTGCCACACGCTACAACAGAGCAGTGAGCACGAGGATCCCCATGGGGGGACAGACTGCGCCATCCCAGGGTTGGGGAGGAGTGGGGAGGACGGATCTCCCTGGCCACAGGGATGGGAGGGGCAATTCACTGTTCCTCTGAGTAAAGCTTGTTCTGAATGACCCCTGCCGTCTCAGCCTGCTCAGTCTCAGCCTGGTCAGCTGGGTCTCTGCCAGGCCAGGGTGGGGGGATGGGCTAGAAGGGCGGAGACCATCGGCTCCAGTGCCCCTTTGGGTGGCTAGGTAGGGTGTTGGTCAGGATGGGGTCTGGACTGGAGCCCAAAGAGACCAAGCTGGCTAGGTGAGCGCGCCTTTATGGGTTCCCTAGGGGGTTGGGATGGACTGGAGAGAGGCAGCCGGCTAGGAGAGGGTGCCTTTATGGGTTTCCCAGGGCGTGGGGGCGGTGGCCAGCACAGGCAGCTTCATGTTGTGCCAAAGGAAGTCCAAGAAGGTGGCGGCCTGGAGTGTCCGGCTGAGCCGCTGAAAGTGCCGCTCTGGGAAGGACAGAGGGAGGTCGGGGGGTATCCACACCCACCCCAGGATGTCCCCAACCCTAGGCTGTGCCTGCGTACCAGTGTAGGGCAGCAGGGCTTCAACTGCTGCACGGACGCCTTCATAGGCCAGCAGCTCCTCGGGGGCCTCATGCCGCAGGAGCACACCCAGCACGGCCTGGGCCTCGTGGCAGTTGCGCGAGTTGGTGTTCCACGTGACGCAGAAGCGCAGCAGGGCCTCTGTGGGCGACAGGACCATCATCCTCTTGCCCGGTCAATCCGCCATGGCTGGCCCCTGCCCACCGGGCCACCCACCCTGACCGGCCCCCAACCTTTCTGGTCTCGCCTCAGTCGGAGCACGGTGGCTTCCAGCTTCTCACAGGCCTCAGGGTCCCTCCGAATGGCTGTGGGAGTAGGGAAGGCTGAGCTGGGAAAAGCAGAGCCCAATGGTCCAGAGACCCGGCTCCTCACCCCCAGGGGTGGGCCCTAACCCTGGATGACGGTCAGCACAGTGTGGGGCCGATCTAGGGAGATGGCCAGGCCCAGCGCTCGCAGGTACCGCTTCTCATGCAGCAGGTTGTCCAGCTCTTGTTGCCTGCCAGGAGGGGAGGGGAGGAGAGGCCACTGAAGGTCGCTGGCTGGGGCTGCAGGCAGAGCTATTGGAGTCAGCAGGTGGTGAGCCTGGTGCTCAGCCTCAGTTTCACTACAGCACAGAGCAGGGGCACCACTGTCCTGGCCTTACCTGACCACCTGCTCCTCCTGCCTGGCCTGCTCCTCTGCCTGCTCTGCCTCGGTCACATCCTGAGGTGAGACTGAGGTCAGATGGGGGCCCCCATGCCACCCCGCCTCCTCCCCAACCTCAGGCCCACAACCTTCCAGAGGATGACTCGGGAGTCGCTGGCGCCAGTGAGGGCGCGGTCATCCAGCCGGCTACAGTGCAGCCCCCAGACCTTATCATCATGGGCATCCAGCGTCCGCACACACTCGTTGTTCTTGATGGTCCAGAGCTTCACGAGGCCATCTGAGCCGCTGGGTTTGGGGTGGGGAAAGGCTCAGCATCAGGCAGCTCCCCCACCTGGCCCCATCGCTGCCCCGTCCCAGCCCACTCACCTGGACAGCAGCTGTGTGCCCCGGCTCACAAAGGCCACCTTCAGCACGGAAGCATCGTGCCCCTCAAATGTCTGCAAGGTTGAGGTAGGGCATGAGATGTCACCAGGGTGGGAGGCGTGGAGGGCCTGGAGCACTGCTTACCTTGAGACAGCTGAAGTCCTGGAGCGCCCAGAGCTTGATAGTGCCGTCAGCTGAGGCTGTGGCCAGCACCTGGTCCATGGGAGAGAACTGGACACACCAGAGGCCACGCCGGTGGCCTGAGAAGACACCCAGCAGCTGGCACTGTGGCAGGGCCCAGAGCTTGGCCATGCGGTCTTGTGAGCCCGTGGCCAGCAGCTTGTCATTGGGGGCAACAGCCACGCTGTTGATATCCTGGCAATGGGAGCAGGTGGTGGCTCAGCATCCCCATCCCCCTGCCAGCAAGGGCTAGGCCACACCCCCACCCCAGTGGCTACGGATTCACCTTATCGTGGCAGCGCTGAGTGGTCTGGGCCTGCAGGAGGACAGGGCCGCTGTCTGGGGCTGTGTTCTTAGACAGCAGGGCTCTGGGAAGGGGCCACAGCTTCACAGTGCAGTCCTGGCTGCCCGTCACCAGGAAGGACTCCTTCAGCCTGTGGCCCAAACAGGAGAGGGAGGAGACACAGCTGAGCCCCCGCCAGCCTTGATGGACAGCTCCCAACAGGGCCAGCCTGGGAGCACCCGGCTCAGACCGTGGGGCCTGTCCCAGGATGCAGATTGCCCTTGGTCACCTCTAGGCACCTGAAGGACCAAGCCCTGCCTACACTGTCCACCTGCAGCACCTGGTGACTCAGCTCCAAACACAGGACCCGAGCCCCACATGCAGGGGTCCCCTCTCCACCTGGGCCTGATGCAGATTCCCTCTCTCTGCCCCAGTGCTCTTCCCCCTTTAACCACTTTCCCAGGGATACTTCTGAGGACTGCCCCCAAGGCACCTAGGGACTCCCCCAATCCTGTTCTGTTCCACACGTCTGGGCTGGAGCCTCAAAGATCAAGCCAGCACTGCGGCCGCCTCCCCAGATCCCTGAGCGGCAGCCCCTGCTGGCAGGCCTGGGCATCCCTCTCACTGACACTCTGGGCCCAGCCCTGACTCACTCACTACCTAGAGCAGCAGATGGTGCCGACACTGTGCGTATGGCCGGAACCCTGAGCCACGCAGACCACCTGGCCAGCCTTGTTCATCCTCCAGATTCGGACACTCTGATCCTGGGGATGGGGAAGAGAGGAGAGAGGCTGGTCTGTGGGCCTACCGTGTGGCCTCCCCGCCTAGTGCCCCTTCCCCTACCTCTCAGAGCACCTCACCTTGGCACAGCTGGCAAAAAGCCACCCCTTCCGGAACACGTCCAGAGCCAAAACGATATCTGAAAACATGTTGGGGGGAGGTAGAGGTCACAGGGCAAGATAGGGGAAGGGAAGCCAGCAAGGGACCCAGGTGGGTCCCAGGGTGTCAGGTGGGCTGGCCCCACTCACCCGTGTGGCCATGGAGGATCTGGCAGGCTGATGTCTGCAGCTCAAACACTTTCAGGCAGGGGCTATTGGAGGCCACGATGATATGGGAGTCCTCAGGCCCAAGAAACCGGACATCCAGGACCTCCTCACTATAGCCAGCGAACTATACAGGGGCAGGAGGCAGGAGATGTGAGCCAGGACCCAGCAAGAGGAGGACTGGCACCCACAGCCCCTCTGCAGGCTAAGCAGGGGCAGATGTGCACCTGTTTCTGCAGCCGCAGGGAGCGAGCCTCGTAGAGCAGCAGGTTGTGGTCGGCAGTGGCGCTGAGGAGCAGGCCGGCGGTGCGGGCCAGGGTGCAGTGGGTAAGCTCCCGCCCAGGGCCTGGTGGCCGGGCCTGCGTGTACACACACTGCCCAGAAGCTGCCTCCCACACGCGCAGAGTGCCTGGGTGGGTGGGGACAGGCTGTGAGACTCTAAGGTTCACAGGCCTTCCCCAGCCCCTACCACCTGCCTGTGGCCCAGCCCCTACCACCTGCCTGTGGCCCAGCCCCACGCACCTTGGTCGCCAGCTGTCAGGAAGTGCAGGCCTGGGGACTTCACACCCAGCTCAGATGCCGGCTCTTCTGGCAACAGCACAGCAGTCTCCACGCTCTGGAGACAAACTGGGTCACGGGCTGCTGACACCCGCCCTCCAACCCAACTCACCAGGCCTGGCCTTCAGGCGTCCCTACCTCAAACACCGGCACAGTCCTCGTGGCCTGGTGGCTCTGAAGGTCCCAGATGATACAGATCTTGTCACGGCCGGAGCTGGGGGAGCAACAGCTACCTGAAGTCAAGTTTTAGCCTTGGTCCCCGGTTTCCCAGCCTCCCCGCCTACCAGGGCATGCTCCTGACCTGAGCATAGTGTGGCCGTCGGCACTGAAGGCCAGTGAGGTGACAGCGCTGTAGTGGGCAGTCAGCACAGCCAGGCACGACCGATCCTGCAGTGACCACACGCGGATGGCGGCATCTGCGGCCGAGGAGAAGAGCAGCAGGCGTGTGGGGTCTGGGTGGAAGGCCACCAGGCTGCAGGCGAGACAGGATGGGTGAGCTGAGCAGCCTGGGGGTGCCTCTGCATTCTCACCCCCCACATTCCCCTCACACTCACTGCACAACACCAGGCGAGCCTCGGAAGTGGTGTGTCCCGTAGTGCCGCACAATGTCCCAGACGCGCACAGCCCCGTCACAGCCGCCTGCGGACAAGCAAGGTGAGGGGCTGGAACGCCCAAAGACCCTCCATCTGTGCCGGCCACTCACCTGCCCAGCAGGGCCCTACCCGTGGCTAGCAGCGTGGAGGTGGGGTCGAAGGTCATGGTGGCCACGGGGGCTGTGTGTATTGCCTTCCAAAGGCGGGTAACGCTGCCCTCTCGCCAGGCCCACTGAGCCAGCAGCAACGCCCGGCTGGCTGTCACCAGCACCTAGGGGAGGATACAGGTCAGCAGAGGGGTGGCAACACCCTCCTCCCACCTTCCCAGATTCAATCCCCACTGGGCCCCACCCTGCATACCTCATCGTCAGGGCTGAGATCGAAGGCAGTGATATCCTCCTGGTCCTCCTAGGGGAAACAGCGGTGTGCAGAGGGTTGTGTGAAGGGGCTGGCCCCGCCACTTGCCCCTCACCCACTCAGGTTGCCCTCACCTGCTCCAGACTCTGCAGCACGGCCCCTGAGGCCACCTCCAGAATGTTGACTCTGGTGCCACAGACGCAGAAGAGGTGCTGGCCAGTCTGGTCCAGCTGGGGACAAAGGGGTCTCAGCCAGGCAACATTTGGCACTCCCTGCAGCCTCCAGCTGCCCACCCTCAACCCTTCCCCAGACCTATACCTGTGCTTTTCCACCCTTGTAGAAAGGTTCGATTTTGCGCTCCACGACATAGCTAGAAAAAAAGTGGGAGGGAGTGAGCGCCACCCACCCCCTCGATCCCTTGGGTCCAGTCCTGTGCTGGGTGTTCCTCTTGAGGTGACCACAATGGCCCCTGCCCTTGAGTTTCAGGGCAACAGCAGGGACGGGGCAGGGGTTGGAACCAGCAGCACTGCAGGGGGCTATTGCCACTCCCAAGTCACTGAGAAGCAGAGACTCAGAGCTCACTGGTGATCCCTGAGGCAGTAGGGGGTGGGCCTGCGTCAGGCAGAGGCAGCCCAACACTCCAGGGCTCCCAGGGATTCCTCAGCGAGAGCCAGGTGAGTCCCTGGGGCAACCCCTGCTGGCAGTGGGTAGCCAAGCCTGGGTAGCAGCCCAGAGCACAACCTCCCAGCGTCTTCATCCCTGAGATCTGGTATACCTCTTCCCCTCCCTGGCTCCTCCCTCTGTCCCCAGGCCTACCCAGAGCCCAGGTCCCATTAGCAGCTGTCATTTCTGTGACCTCACCCTGCCCCTCCTCCTTCCCTCTCCACTGCCTCCACCTGGTCCAGACCATCACAATCTCTGGCCACTTCACTGGGCCCCCTACCTACGTCTTAACCCTGCTGCTAGGTGCCTTTCGGAACATAACTGAAGACGTCACTGCCCCACATCAGACCCTCACTCTGTCCACACACCTCCCAGACCCTCTCCAGAAGGGCTTCCGAGAACCTTGCCTCTGCTTCCCTTCCCTCTCATGGCCCACCATGGTTCCTTTCCCAGCCCCTGGAACAGGTTTCCTATCTTCCCCCTGTCCCCTGTGTGCGGCCTGGGCTTCCCTTCCCAGATGGCAGGGCCTGGCTCAGTGCACTTCTGGAATCTTGACTGCCAAGACGAAAGCAACCCTCAGCCCCTGAACCCAGTCGACCCTCCCACGGCGGTGCTGCCAGCCAGGGGCTTTCCTTTACCAGTGCTTGGCACAACCAAAGCCCCACAGCCGCCGATGGAAATGATAATCCCATGAGACTGCGCTGCCAGGGCGGGGGCACCAGCAGTGCTGTTCAGAAAAGGCTTGGGGAGTGACAGGGCACAGGACTGAGGGCCTCCTGTGCTTCTGCAGACTTGCTCCTCTCCTGCTGTCTCCCTGCTCCCTGAAGAAGAGGGTTCGCGGGTGGTAAGTCCCCAGGCCGACTGCTTAGAGGTGGTTCTTCGTCTCCTGCCGTTTGCCAGGACCAGTCCCGACCTACGCTCAGCCCACCCCTCCCCTCATCCGGACTTCTGGTCCCCGCTTCACCCCACAGCCGGCTTCTCGTTGAGCCCACGCTGCTGCGCCCGGGCTTAGGTCCCTGTCCTCCCCGAGAGCAGTCGGGGCCTGCTCTCCCACCTGGTATCATCGCAGCCTCCGCGACCCCGCGAGCCCGCGCACACATAGCCTCTCCCCTCCCAGACCCCAATGGGCGCCCACTGCAAGCGCGCCTCCGCTATGCCTGCTGCGAACCTGGCTCCCTCCCCGCGTGGCCCCAGCGCTCCGAGCTCACTTGGCCTTGAAGCGGCCCACTCCGGCCGCGGTCTCTGCCATGTTGCCGCTGCCGCTCCCGCCGATACCAGCTAGAACCCCGGCAGCTTCCACCGCGTGAAGAGTGAGGTTGGCACAGTGCTCCTAACTCCCGGCGCGCTGCGATGGCGTCACCACGCGCGACCACTGTGACGTCACCGGTGAAACGCGCTTGTCGCCATCTTTGCTGCAGGCAGTGGCGGCTGCATCCGGAAGTGGAAGCGGGCGGAGGTGTTTCCGGCCTGGAGGGTGGGCGGTGAGCCGTGACGGTGCAGCGCGGGCAGGTCGGGGTAAACAGGCGTGGGTGACAGCGCCGTAGCCTGGCCTGTTTTTTTTTTTTTAAAGACGGGTTTCACCATGTTGGCCAGGATGGTCTTGAACTCCCAACCTCAGCTGATCCGCCCGCCTGTCCTCCCAAAGTGCTGGGATTACTGGCGAGAGCTACCGCGCCTGGCCAGCCTGGCCTTTTGATAGCAGTATAAAAAGGCATCCGTAGCCAGCGTTTACTCCTGCCTTTTGGCATTCTGGGAATTGGGGCAGCAGCAGTCGGGTGGGGTCCAAGCCTCGAGCGGTGAACCTGACCCTGCCTCGGGACTTGCAGTGTGGCTTATGATAAATAACACAGGAAAATGAATAAACCGTGTAATCTCAAAGGCATTCATATATTGAGCACCTTCTGTGTGCAAAGCACTGTTCTTGGCACTTGGGGAACAGCAGATAAGAAACTAAACGGGATAAGAGTGACAGTTGCTGAGCGCTGTGGAAAAAAACAGAAGGGATGGAGTGGAGGGGACCCCAAAGGAGGCTGTATTGAGGTGAAGCCTGAGCAGACATAAGTTCGCGAAGCAGGGAGCCCTGTGGTGACCTTGGGAACGAATGGTGCTGAGGAATGGTCAGGGCACAGGCCCTGGGCTGGTGGTGTCAGGCGTTGAGTGGCAGCAAGCCGGGTGGCTGCAGGGAGTGGGTGCAGAGGGCAGAAGCCATGCCGTTTGCCTGTGAGCCGTGGGGAGGAGTTGGCTTTTACTCTGAATTCACGGTTTTGAGCCATTTGTGCTACTACTGGCTGTGAAGCTGGTAGAACAGTCTGCTAGAAAGTAACTGGGCCAGGCTGGGTGCAGTGGCTCACTCCTGTAATCCCAGCACTTTGGGAGGCTGAGGCAGGCAGATCATGAGGTCAGGTGTTCCAGACCAGTCTGGCCAACACGGTGAAACCCTGTCTCTACTAAAAGTACAAAAATTAGCTGGGCGTGGTGGCAGGAGTCTGTAATCCCAGCTACTTGGGAGGCTAAGGCAGGAGAATTATTTGACCCCGGGAGGTGGAGGTTGCAGTGAGCCGAGATCACAACGCCACTGCACTCCAGCCTGGATGACAGAGCAAGACTCTGTCTCAAAAAAAAGAAAAAAAGGTCTCAGGAAGTCTGTCTTAGGAAAAAAAAAAAAAGAAAGTAACTGGGCCCGTTTGGGCATCATGACAAGACCCCGTCTCTACACACACTTACACACACCCACACACACACACAATTTAGGCGGGGCGGTGGTGCGCCTGTTGTTCCAGCTTCTCCAGAGGCTGAGGTGAGCGGATGTACTGAGCTGTGATCAGGCCTCTGCACTCCAGCCTGGGCGACAAGAGACCTTATCTCAAAAAAACAAAAAAACAAAAAAAAAAGAAAGAGAAACCAAAAGTAACTGGGAAGGAGAACTGAGAGGATGATCAAGGAAAAGCTCTGAGAGGAGACATTTGAGTGAAGTAAAGCAGGCCAGCGTGGTGGCTCAAACCTCTAATCCCAACATTTTGGGGAGCAGAGGCAGGAGGATTACTTGAGCCCAGGAGTTTGAGATCAGCCTGGATAACACAGTGAGATCTCATTTCTACAACAAACACAAAAATTATCCGGCAGTGGTGGTGTGCGCCTGTAGTCCCAGCTACTCAGGAGGCTGAGGTGGGAGGATTACTTGAGCCCAGGGAGGTTGAGGCTGCAGTGAGCCATGATTACAGCACTACCCTCCAGCCTGGGCGCTAGAGCAAGATCCGGACCCAAAAAAGAAAACAAGAAAAGGCTGTTCTGTCTATGGAGTAGCCATTCCTGTGTTTCCTTTATTTATTTTTATGAGATGAAGTCTCACTCTTGTTGCCCAGGCTGGAGTGAAGTGGCTCAATCTTGGTTCACTGCAACCTCCACCTCCCAGGTTCAAGTGGTTCTCCTGTCTCAGCTTCCTGAGTAACTGGGACTACAGGCTTGTGCCACCATGCCCAGCTAAGTTTTGTATTTTCAGTAGAGACAGGGTTTTGCCATGTTGGTCAGGTTGGTGATACACCTGCCTCTGCCTCCCAAACTGCTGGGATTACAGGGGTGAGCCACCATGCCCGGCCCCCTTACTTTAAAATCCCAGTCTGTAATCCCAGCACTTTAGGAGGCCGAGGCGGGTGGAACACGAGGTCAAGAGATTGAGACCATCCTGGCCAACATGGTGAAACCCTAACTACTAAAAATAGAAAAATTAGCTGGACATGGTGGCATACGCTTCTAGTTCCAGCTACTCAGGTGGCTGAGGCAGAAGAATCGCTTGAACCCAGGAGATGGAGGTTGCAGTGAGCTGAGATTGTGCCACTGCACTCCAGCCTGGCGACAGAGACTCCAAATCAAAAAA